GAGGCGGCCCCGGGGCGGCCCCGCGGGTCACCGGGACCCGCCGAACGGGGACGTGACGGTCACGCGCGCAGAATCCTGCAGGGACCTGGAGCTTCGCGCAAGCTGCGCGTGAAACGCGCGGCCGAGCGGAGCCCGCGCAGCTGCGCAGGCCTCCTGGGCTCCCTGTCAGCCCCGTGAGGGAGCTGGCGGCTGGCAGAGCCTCGGCCGGTGTAAAAAAACACCCAATAAAGACCCCGTATTTCACCCGGGAGAGGGCAGTGCACGCCCGGCACCGAATATTAGCGGCGCTTCGGATCTCGGGTTAGCCAAGCTGCCCGGCTTTATCTGCTGCTGTAAGCAGAACAATCTGCTTAGCACTTTCACCTCTATTAAGGGAAAAAAATAGTTAAACGACATCTTTTGACTCCTTTTAAGCTTCTCTGTAACGTGAAGAAGAGCTGAGGTCCAGATGCACTATATATCTGACTGAGCATATTTAATACGTTATATGTACATATTATATACCTATACGTTATTATATATGTTACATACTAAGCATCTTTAATACATACATTAATACATACATTTCTATGTAATATGTGCAGATTAAGCACATAGGGCGCCTATTAAGCACCCCTTTGCAATAGGGATTACAAATAAAGTAATTATACATAGGTATTATATACCTATACGTTATATATATGTTACATACTGAGCATATTTAATACATTAATACATACGTTTCCATATAATATGTGCAGATTAAGCACATAAGGCACCTATTAAGCACCTCTTTGCAATAGGGATTACAAATAAAGTAACAAATGTGTATCCTGAAATCGTGGGCTGAATGACAGCCCTAGTTGCCCTTTCCTCGTTGCGGCTGGTAGAGCTGTTGTATAAACAGCAGTTGCTCCAGAAGGATTGGACATGGAGATGCCACCTCAGAGTTCCTTGAACTGGTCCTGTCCATGTAATTACTCCAATTACACAGAAGTTCTTAGCAGTCTTTTTCAATTGTGAGTCTAGAGTCTGCACGAGATTCCGATAAATCTGCAGTGCAAAGAGAATTAAAGGAATATGTGATTATGCCAAATTGCTGTAATCTGGAAGAAATAAAACCAGCCATATGTGCTACAGGCTTAATCCTTGCTTTCCTAATTGCAGCATGTAACCACCCTTAATGATTGAGTTCATAACGTGACAGTAACACATACGGTCTCTGCTTTGCTCCACCAGGTGCTGGGATTCAATCGGTGTTCAGCGGGGACTGGCTTGCCTAAAAACTCCTGTAGTTTCAGTAAACTGTGAAACAGGAGACAGATTTCAGAACAGCTTTAGCGTGTTTGGACAGGGGATATTTGGCAAACATCCTACATAAATGTATGCAGCAGATCTGGTATGAACTGCCTGTGATGGTTGTTCACGTCCTCATGATTTTACAATTCAACTGTTTCTACACCTGCTGTCATAATTATGTCATTAGGTTTTAAGAGTTATTAACTATGCCTTTAGAGGTATAGGGAAGACTCCTGTTTAAATCCTGTCTTTATGAATGTACCTGTGTTTATGATCTGTTTTACAGAGACTTTTTGAGGGCTTCAATATGCTAGAAGTTGTCTGGCCAAGCACCTGGAAAGACAAAAAGCAGCAGCTTTTTTGTTATTCAAATTTAAGTCCTTTTACATTGGTTCTAAAGCAAACTCTTACACAGAGTTCTCCTCATGAGACTTATCTTCTGGCTGACTCTCAGTGCCACTGTATGTTCTTAAAGCTGATTAGAAAAAGAAGGCATTGTGGCTAAAAAAAAGTGAGCATTTTAAGAGATTTTCAAATTTTTGATTTTTTTTTGTGTTCCTGAAACAGGATGAAATGCACCTTATTATACAGGAGAGGTATTGAGATTGAGTATTCCGTAATTTTAAAAGAAAATAAAAGTTACTTTATTAAGAGGGCGGCTCATTAAAAACCAAAAATATATTCTTACTTTTACTGATGAATTCCTGTTTCTGAAAGAACCCATGTAAAAGCAGTGATTTAAAATGAAGTCCCAAATGAGAGTCTTCTTATCTCAATAGCACGTATTAGCCAGCTCACCATATTCTTATGCATTCAGGAACTTAGTTGGGCCTTATTCCAGAGGTGCGTTGTGTTCTATGGAAAACTTTTTAGCACACATTCAAAGACATTCATTGATCAGATGCTGTTTCAATATACAATGGCATGGATTGTGTTCCCCAAATGAGTATTTTTGCTGAAGACTGCAAAGTCCAAAAATAAGCATGAACCATTCTCCAAAAATATATGATTAAAATATTTCACTTTTCAGTACAGGAAAAAAGACTGAGTTATGGCTTGGGCTATTCTACAGTTTTTGGTTCTTATACTTCCTGTGACTCATAGATTGCAGTTGAATTTGTGTTGCAAATTTTTGATGATTAATATGCTTTTGGACCTCAGCACAGAAAGTCTCCAGATCCAAACAAGACTGGGGCTCATTGTGCAGTGCAATACAGAGACACGCAGTAAGAAATATTCCCTGTTCCAAAGCCATAGCACAAAATGCAAAACACTGAGCTGGGAGGGAGGCAGAGCAGTGATTTACAGGTGAAACATTCATCAGCTCACTGAGAAACATCCTGTTGTATCTATTTTCTGAAAATGATATTCTTTTCTTGAGGTTTACGCGTATTAAGTCATATTTGACCTTTCTCGGTGCCTAGACAAGCTCTGCCTTTTACTCCTTGGGCACAAGAGCAAAGTCTGCCACAGACTGTTCTTTGTCTCAAACTTGCTCTTTAATAAAATGGCAAAAAGTGCTCCTGAAGTCGCAACCCACATTGACCAAATATTAAATATGACTGAAAAGCATAATAGTAGAACAAATACTGGGCAACACATAAATTAACTTTTAACAAGAATATTGTATACTGTAAAGGATTTCAGCAATTACAGTAAGATTCCCCTTGCAGAGAAGGGACTAGCAGTTTCAGACAGAATAACCAAGCATCAGCTCCTCCTCTTGGATCCCCTGAAGAAACTGCATCTGGCAGCCTGGACTGCATAGGTGCAACCACTGCGCATTTCTGCAGGAGAAGAGAGTGTCAGGGTGGAGGTGTCAGCCCGGACCAACCTCCGTGATCGAGAGCTGTGGGGCCTGCACACATCATCAGCATTTATTTAGTCACCATCTTTTCGGTTGCATTAGATCTACAAAGGCCCATGTGCCTAGCTAAGTGTCACAGTGACATGGCATCCCACTGGCAATTATTTCTTAGGAAAACATGAGCAGTGTCTATAGTAAGTTGATCTTCAAATGCAGTTTAGCAGCTGGAATCCAGAAGCAGCATCATGCAACCAGCAGATTTTTCCTTCTTTGCACTAGCTCTAGTTAAAAATCGCATAATTTATCTTAGAATTGATTTATAACACATGTGTAATATCACATCTTATGTCCTAGACCTCAGCTTCCAAACTAATGTCACTGTCTTCCCTGTTTAAGATTTATTGTGCAGGATTCACCGCGCAGAGACTTTTTGTTCTCTCTTCCTCCTCCTCTTCCTCTCAGACTGCAGAAATGCACACAAATTTTCTGGCATTTAACACAAGATCCCCCTCTGAATTCTAATTCTTAGGACTGCATACTTTGTATAACCAGTGATACACAGCAACTTAAGTGGATTTCAGCAAGCAGAGGCAATTTCCTTCATCAGAGAAATTTATATATATATATATTTTTATGGTGCTAACAAGTAAATTACCAGTGATGTTGACTGCATCTCCAATGATTTGGGAGCTGCCCAGCTGGTTCAAGTAGAGCCAATAAGCTGTAGACCTACCTACCACCATTAGGTTTAGCAAAATACCACTTGTTCAGTTCTGCAAGACAAGTCTGCTGGCTTAGAGAGCCCCAGTGTGCTAGCAGCTATCCCTGCGTCTTAATGGGAACAAAGACTTTGAAATAAAACAGTTTAGTCACTGCCCAGTTTCTTGTAAAAGTTTTTAAAGTTATGCATTTTTTTTTCTTACATATTACAAAATAAATGCTACCATAAAGTCACTGCCCGATTGTTGTAAAATTTTTTAAAGTTATATATATTTTTTCTTATATATTACAAAATAAATGCTACCATAAAGCAAGATAAAGTCATTACCTAACAAACCTGCAGCCAAGAGTCTCCCCATGATGTCTCTTCCTGACATAACCACAGGCCTGGTAACCTGAAAAAGGGTCTGGACCAGTTGAAAACACCAGAAATTGGAAGTTTGAGATATTTATCCTTCAGCCTCCAGCTCCACAAGCAAACACAGAGGAGAGGATTTTTAAAAAATGAGCGCAGCTTATTAAAAAGAAAGAAAGAAAAAAAAACGTGTTCTTAGCAATCTGGAAATGTAAGTTTATATACTTGTTTCTTGCAGAAGTGTTTGCTTCCATATTTACACTTAATCCTGTGGGAGCCAAAAAATCTGGCTCCAGATTCACTTCAGCGCGGTGGATTAGGTTACAGCCCATCAAATCACAGTATATGTTGTGCCAGTCTAAGAAGGCGTTTTCCAAAGAAGATGAAAGAACAATTATTAATAGAACTCTGAAAGAAAACGGGCCCAGTTTTGTGGTGTGTGAGGAGCTCGGGTATGGGAAAAAGCCCTGTCAGGACCAACCTTCATTGGCACCAGGAGTTCTTTGTTACACGAAATGGAAGGTTTTATTGAGGGAGTGACACAAAGTCAGTAAGCCAACATCGTAGGACCAAGTACTCAAAACCTGCAAATTTTCCCCTAAAATGAAATAGCAGTATACTGTAGGGAGGCACCAAATGGTCTTTGCAAGAAGGAGCAGGAAGCGTTCTGTGTTCACCAACGATGCACCAGACACTGACCAGGCAGCTGCTGCTGTCTGTGGTCCATCCAATAGATTTCTAATGGAGGAAAAAAAGGAAATAAAAGCAAATGCAGAACGACGACAGATTTTTGCAAATATACCTAATTAGTGCTCTGACCACAGGCTTTTGCGTAACAACACGGCAGTTACTTGGACGTTGTAGTTTAATTTGCTAATAGCTTTTGTATATCCGAGCAATCTGTAGCATTTCACTTTTATTTATAGCAGTCTGTTGCAATTACCACCTCTAACACAATGGTCCACAACATGAGAACAGTTAATTTAAGCCTATATGCCTCTGTGATAGGTTTTATCCTACCACAGTAGTCATTTTTCCACATTTTCTGCTGATTTGCGTATGTTTTTTTACAATGTTTATAGGCCAGTGACTCAGAACCTGATACAAAAGAAATAATTGCTTTCCTGCCTGAAATAAGCTATTCCAAAGGCAAATTTTTCAGAATTACCATCTCACTGAAAAGTAATCCTTACTGCTGCACTGTCTTCCTTCAACTACTGCATTCAGACAAGTGGGCTGAAAGAACTGCCTTGCCCATGGTGAGAAGAGACAAGCTGCTTTTCCTCTCTCCTGACTGCATGAGCAAAAATGGAGCACAAATACCCAAATACATCTCATGAAATGTGCAGAGCAGAGCTGACTTGCAACGCTTTTATTAAGGCAGCAATCACTTTTAGCAGTGATGTGGTTATATATGTTAGTCATGTGCTAAACTGAGTAGTTTTCCCCAATTTAGCTTACTGAGTTAGTCAGGTGAAAGACACAGCTTGACACTTTGTAGTTATAGTCCTGGAGGAAAAATCCAGCGTAGAAAATTCTATTTTCATTTGTTTATCACGGAACTGTCTCTCTGGCTGTGCATAATGTAAAAACCACGTACTAACACCAGCAACAACAGCAGCCTGTGACCACTTCACAGGACCTATCTCATGTTATTCTCATCCAGCAACTGAGAATTCCTGTAAAGAACTGATGTGTCATAGCCCTAGAGCTCCCTGGGTCAGATTCCTTGCACCTCGTAGCTCTCCAGCATAGTGTTCTCAAACAGAAGCCAATTCACATTAATAGAACCCTTTCATGTGATCCAGGGAGAAAGGGGATCCATACACCGGCTAGGAGGGAAGCAGTGCAGAAGGTTATAAAAATCAGAGGCAGAGTGTTACATTTTCATTTTTAGCCTAGAGGAAAAATGGGTGAGTAACTTTTGTTAGTCCTTTAAATTTAAAAGTGTCCAGACTGAAAACAGTGTGTTAACTATGTTTTAGACATTACAAAATGGTGAAGAAAGTGTCTTATACGTGAAAGAAGCTTTTCTGCTTATCAGAAAAAAAAATAGCAGCTCCTTTGAGGTTCTATAGTTGCATGATCTTTTGCATAATTAGTTCTTTTAGCGTATAATGTAATGTACAGAATGATGCTTGCTTTACTCAGTATCTTTCTAGTACAAAGGCTAATTACAAATGTGCATATTGTAAAATAAGTATTTTGAAAACATATTACATCCCCATAGACTGTATAGTCCAGGAATTTTCAAATGCTAAAGTTTTCAAATAAGGCTCTCTCCCACGGTTCTTCTTGTCTCCAGAAATAGTTCTAAGGATTGCTTGCAGAAAGGACGGCTTGTTGACTTTAAGTTGCCATGTAATGACAAGAATGTGTGTTTCATATGCAGAACTTCAGAGGTAATATTAGCTGGCTATTCATTAGAAAGATTATGCAGATTTTAAAGCATGTTCTCAAGTGAAAAGTGACTACCCTGTTTTGTCCTTTCATGCAAAACAAAGTCTGCACCAGGGTGTAAGACGCAGCACTCTGCATATCTAAGGGCAGAGTGGCTCTGGCAACCCAAACCCTTTACAGATTTTGAAGTAGTTGAAGTCACTTCTAGGCTTTTCTATTAGGAGAACTAACCAGGCTAAAATAGGACTTCTCTACTTTGAGAGTAATAAGAACCAGATTTTTATTATATTGGAATGCTAACAAGATTATACTGAAATACATTGTCAGCACAAAGGACCACACTTAAATTATTTCTGGGATTTTTTAATTAAAAGGGCTTATATTAGCACTATTGAGTATGTTGTGGAAACTAATATTCAGGTGATCTACCTAGAACAGGAGAGATTTATCCTGTGATAGGAATTCCTGCCCATATTGGCAGACCCAGGCTGACAGTGGTGAAGCTCCTGTAGCACAATCTGGATTGTGAAGCTGCTGCCTGCAATATCTGATCATATCCACAAAATAGACTTATTTCTCATGATTCAGCTATTCAGGATCGAGCTGCTAATGATCTGAGAAAACATCTTTTCTCTCTGTACTTCCTAAGAAAATGGATTGGAAACCTATTATGCGTGTAGGAGTTAAGGAAAAAAAAATCTTCCTTCCTTCCTGCCAAAAAAAAATTAATTGTAGATTCAGAGATGAATTAGATGCTAATATGTGTATCTGTGTTATTCTAAAGAACTTTGGGAAGGAGGAAAATAGAAGATGGCTGTCGGATGGCTGGAAATATATATAGACCTATGGATAGAAGGTCTAAGTCTCATTGACTTAATTTGCAGGACCCTGCTCTGTATGTGTACATCCATATTTATGCATATTTCCATCTTTAAAGCAGAGGTCTGTGACAAGCCAGGCCTGGGTATTCTTCTCTAGGGTCTCTTAGTTTTCTTGGCACCTTGACAATCCCAGGCCAAGCTGTGGAAAGATACTTAAAGCAGCAAAGTCCAGGAACCTAATTTAATTTTTTAATATCGCTTATCATTAGAATCTCTTGAATGCTGGATACATAGAAAATGTCTCAGCTGATTAGGATATATAAATGCAGAATGTACAATGCTCACCATTCTGACAAAACACTGAAAAATACAACTTGTCAAATTAAATTTGTCATAAAATGTTACTTAGAGCTTGACAGATCCATTTACTTCTCTAGTTTCACAGTAAGTCCTGCTAGCAGCAACCAGCACTCCTGGTTCTTGCTCAGCCCCAAGAGTCAGCCAAGTTGAGTCTTTGCAAATGGACCGATAGGCTGGTTTGCTTCATGTGTACAGCAATGTTGTGCTGTGAGGATTTTTATACGTCTCCTAGCACAAAAATCTGCCTGCATAAATAAAAGGTAAGAGTGTTTATTCTGTTACTTAGATGAAATCTGCTTCCCTGAATATTAGTAATTGGAAAAGCTTCTCTGATTCATGGCAAGATGACTGCGTGCATAATACAAACACATTTTTTCTTGCTATCAGAAAACAATCTGCTAAATATCGTGCTGTTCCTTTTCTGTATGAACAGTTTCCCTATCTACCACAGAAACGTTGTAGAAGGAAACAGGGCCAGTATAACTGTAAGAGGGCAGGACCATGAGACAACCTCCTCAGCGGCTGTTCAGGCCATGAAAGAAAAGGGAATCTTTAGCAGCCCTGATGCTATAGCTCTTTTTGCAGAATAGTTCTTCTCAATTGAAATCAGACCAAATGTCAGTGTATACTCTAAATAGTTCTTTGTGAAAGATGTTTTTAAGACTTCTCCCAATTCTAAGCTATGTTTCCTATAACAGGTCTAGAAATAATATGAATAGTTTGGGGAGCAACTGCTGGCTGAAGGCAGAAGCATAAGGGTTGCTTCAGTAAGGGAAGGAACTTTGGGGAGAAAAGCAGTTTATGAGTATTAAATCCTATTTTTCGCACAGATTAGCAAGTCTGCAGTTTTGCACCTCACCTGCCTCACTGTTAATGCACTCCGTTGTGTTTTCAGCGTGGTATAGACTGAATTCTCTGGCACTTCAGGAGGATGTGTTGGGGGGACATTATGCACAGCTGTCATTCACTTCTGTTCCTATTTCCCTTCATATATGCATTGCTGTCCTATTTTTCATCGCCATGAAAAAAGCTTTTGGTTCAATTAAAATGATTCCTTTTCATATTTCTGTATCCATCTATGTTAATGTACAACATATTGATAGAATTGAAACTGTAGTAATTATTAGCTGTTGGACTATGTTGCATGTGTACCAGTTACATTCTGTTATTCACAGTTTCCGTACGACTTCCAACTGTAAACAGAAAATTTTACTTAACCACTTTCCTGTGAAAAGAAGACACTTTTACCCACAGTTTTGGAGCATTGCGTAGTTTTATTGAACCCATATGAAAACCTCCCTATGGTGCAGGGGGCAGAAAGTTTAAATTCATGATCTACATAAAGCACTTCCCTTTCTTCAATGCCCATTCTGGAAGCTTAATTCATTACAGTGCTCACATCAGAGGGTGATTTGTGTCAGGAAAACTGTTTGTGGAGATATTCTAACATAGCTGAGATGCAAAAGTGATATCTATGAACGTGCAAATACGATAGATGCTATGACTGATTGCCATAGCATCAGCCTAGGCATTATTTGGAATATTTCAACTAATGGCATCCTTTTTTTATCCAGAAAGTCAAAGTTATGCAATACAGGAAGGCACTTGGACAAGCACGAGGCAGGTGCAATCATAAAATATTTCTATCTGAAAAGATGGAATCTTAAAAAATCGTTAAAACCCCAAAACTTCATGCAACAGCAGAGTCTTACTGTGGTTTTTGGTGCTGCTTCTTGGGATTTTACATACCATTGAATGATCATTTTTATTTTCTGGGTTCCCATCATTCCCCACGAATCCAGTCACTGTATTGCACAGTGGTAGCACTATGTGCTAAGGATGCATGGATGCAGAGGGAGGAAAACTAGGCCAATGTCATTTTTTTCCATTCACTTTATTACCTTTCATTACTTTCTCAGGGATAAAAAAAAAGAGCTCAATGATATTTATAAATAGTAGATAAATAGGAAGTAATTGCTAGGAAGGGTCAAGTTTCATCTGTTACAATGGCAAAAAGTAAAGCTGATGTTCAAAAACACTGTTGTATTTTCATGTTAAAATCTTGCTGAGATGAACGGGGAAATTCACATCTTTAATAAAGGTTGTTTGCAGATCCAGGAAGCCAATAATGCAGCCATTTGCAACAAAAAATAAAGCTGATGTTCAAAAACACTATTACATTTTCATGTTAAAATCTTACTGAGATGAACAGGGAAATTCACATCTTTATTAAAGAGGGAGGCTGTTTGCAGATTCAGGAAGCCAATAATGCAGCCATTTGCAGCTGATTTCTGAAGATTTTCATTCCACATTTTTATTTAATTCCTGATTAAAATTTAAGCATAGTGTCTAATTATGTATAACAACAATTATGATGTAGGCCTGGTCTCTTAGCAACTTTCTCCCAGTCAGACACAAGATTAAGTACTGCAAAACCTGGGTCTAACAATATCACTAACAATGAAGAAAAGTTAATGGAAAAATTCGCTTGCAAATTAAGAGTGAGCTTCTGAAACCAGATATTGTGTATATTAGTGGAAGATGACAACATGAATATAAATAGCGTAGATCCAGCTAGGCAAGGCAGTGTGTTATATGGGTTTAAAGCTGGCATTAGGAGAAGCTGATTAGGTTTATGTCTGTCAAAAGGCTGCTGAAGGCTTGTGCCATCTGTAACAACAGTGACCAGTTTAGTTAACTTGATACCCACCAAATACACTATGACTTTGATGGAATGATGGTAACAGTGCTAAGGAACATTCTCAGTATTACCCAATTATTATCCTTCCAAACAAACCTGAGCAAGTATTTAGGTCCTGTAGCCTCGAAACCATCATTGATGGAGAGGGCATCTTCCGTGCGAACTCTTCTTTGAGGATGGCAGTCCAAATCAAATAACCATCTTCATTCTGTACTGCTGCCCCGAGGACTGAAGACTAGCCCTAATTTCTTGATTAGTCCAAGATTATGCAATTTAGTAATGGCTAAATCACTTAACCCCTTTGTGCCTCAGTTTTTTCCTTTTTTAAAGATGATGCCAGTATTATCCTACTTTGTAGACAAGTGTAGAGCCTACATAAGTAATCTTATGGAAATATGTAGAGTACAGTAGTACTTAGAGTGCATAAATTGTGCCCATTTAATGTAACTATTTTGATGATGCAAAAAATGGAAGCAACTTGTTTATTTTCAAAGTAAATATCATTTTAGCCAACTTCAGCATTCGTGCAAACAGCGATTCACAATTTTAGGGACACCACCCTGACTAAAAGAACTGTCCCAAAGAGGTCAGTGACTCAGTTCCCGAAGTCAGTGCTGCCAAGATCCAGTATCCTGGCCTGGACCGCAGGCTGAAACCCAACCTGGCCTGGCTCTTAACACATGATCTGCGGTGCCGTGTCCTCGGAGGCTTATTTTGGTGGTCTGCCCTCACCGCTGATAACGCGCAGCACACTGGGCAGAGATGATATTGTTCACTCATAAACATGTGGTAGCCGAGTTTGTAACCTATTTTTTTATTCTCTTAGTGATCAAACAACTCTGGTGACAGAATGAGAAGCAGTTTCGGGCTAAATTGTTTTGAAGGATAGAGCCTGGATAGCGCACGTGCATTTATGTGTGTGTGTATGCATATATATATATATATATATACACGTCTGTGTGTATATGCATACATAAATATATACCTGTATTGGATCAGCACAAGGGAATGATGAAGACCACACACACACACAGAGCCCCCAGGCGTATTCCTGAGAGTTGGAGGCTCTGTGGAAACCCAAGCCCTCGTTTCCCTCTCCCGTGACGCTTGTGTGGGCAGGAAGGGTGTGAGCGCCTGGGAGCAGCTCTACCTGCCAGCTCTGCCATCAACATGTCCCTCCGCCACGCCAGAGAACCAGAAATACTGCCCTGGCTGTCCACAAGTAGGTAAACACTTGCTGGCAATGGGGCCAGGCTCAGCAGCTGAAGGAAAGCAAGAAGGGAGGAATCCTCCGCCTTTGGAGCAGCTCTCTGCCCTTCTGCCCTCTCTGTCATTCCCTGCAGCACTTGGAAAAACAGACCTTGTCTCAGCTCTTTGCTCTGGCTTGTATTCCACTGAGTCATCTGGGCAAAGAGAGGAGAAATGATGGAAGAGGTAAACTCCAAACGGGTCTGCAAGAAAAAATAGTTTGGAGGAGGAAGAGGAGCCTGAAATGAGGCAAGAAATAGAAACTCTCAGCTACAATAGGCGTTCTAGGCAGATGTGTTCTTCTCATGCTTTGCACATGCCTCTAGAGAGCTATTAAGCCTCTTACCTTGCTTAGTCCTCTTTTTCCGACTCCCAAACATGGATTTTGGTCTCTCTGAGTTGGGTCCCACATCTGTGACTGGGCACCAGAGCAGAGACCAGCTTTGGGAATTGGGAGTGAGCAGCAAACTCCCCTTCATCACTCCTTCTGAAACTGCACCGAGTTCTCGTAACCCTCTTCCTGCCTCAGCTCTGAGATTTAGGGATCCTTTGCTTTTAGTGCATTCAGAGCATGGAAACATCCATGCATCCTGCCAAGGTGACTGAGGACCTGAACTATACAGTCATGATATAACTATGGGTGAGGTGTGTTTTGTAAATCTTAATTAGCTGTTTGTAAGAGACAGGTGGTAATAACAAGGAAAACATTTGTGGTCCAGCACAGTTTGAATGCGCCATAATAGGCAAAGACTGACCAGCTGAGCTAAGTAGGTTTCATCCCCTCCTTTAGCTCCCGGCCCCGGTTACTGGTTGTGGTTTTAGGAACTTGCACAGTGAGTCTTTACCCTCTGCTCCATACCCGAGTACTGAGTGTGTGCAGATAGAGCCAGTGCCACTGTGCAGAGCTGGTTGTTTCTTCTGGAGCAACAACCATCCCACCCACTTAAGTGCTGAAGTGCTTAACTGTTTAAGAGATGCTCCAATACTTGGAAGTTATTTTTTAAACACTTTTTTTTATCAAGTAGTTTTAACATGATTTTTAAAGAGTTGGACATCTGCTTTACTTTGTCATCTGCAGAAGGTGTGAAGAAAATGGAAAATATATCTGGTAAATGGTGAAAACATTTGATGCTTAATGCACAAGAAAAAAATGATTCAGATCAACAAATGTAGGCATCAAGTGTCATCTTCAACATCCTGAGGTGGCCACATCCTCATGAGACTTGCATGTAAAACACAAACTTGCTTGAGATCCAGGTCTTCAGAAGAGGCAGCTGAGAGTCACGCAGGAAACCCTAAGGTGTCCAACATGTCACCAGATGTCTATTCTTGGCAATGGAATCCCACTTGCTGGAATTCCCAGCATCATTTCTATTTATTATTGCATGAAATTAATCGGTACTGTGAAATTTATGGTAAAAACTGAAATCACAGACTTCGTTTTTTCAGCTCAGAAAACATTCCTGGATAGACTGTAAAATAAAGGTTATTGGAACCCTGATACTCCATTAGGAAAAGTACCTCATGTTGGAGATTTTAACAACATTAAGACAGATATGTAAAATAAAGGTTATTAGAACCCTGATACTCCATTAGGACTATTAGGAAAAGTACCTCATGCTGGAGATTTTAACAACATTAAGACAGATTCCAGCATAGCCCAGTATACCAGAGCATACCATGGAAGTCAGTTCTGACACCCTAGCTCTGCCACATTTCTTTTTGATCTTGGATAAATCATTTCATCTCCCAAGGAATTTTCCTCTTCTCCCACACCTTTTAACCTCTGAATGTTTAGACTAGAAGATGTGAAGTGGGGAGGAGGGAATATTTATCCAGAGTCTAAAACGAGATAAAGTCTTGCAGACACTTGATGTCTCTCACTACTTTCTAAAACCTTCTGAAACCGCTTCTAACTGTAACCCGCATAACCAGGCTTGCATGTCTTTCTATAAATGTTAGCACTGCCGTGTCTAAGTAATTCATCACCATGACCTCAACAAAACCTTTAGAAATGACTAAGATGCCTAAAGAGGTTAAATGCCATTGCAAATCAAATATGCTTTTGGATGGCTATACATACAGTTGCAGATACCTCCATGGTGCATGGATAAGTGATGCCCTATAGTGCATCCTGCACGGTAGTGGCTAAAAGCAATGGTACAATGTTCTGTAGAATAGAGTTTTTCCAAGCTGTTACACTGACTGTTTTACTGATTAGCCTGGAATGGGAAGAATAATCTTGTAACTTTCTCAATCTGATTTTTTTTTATTAATTCCTTTGTCTCTTAGTATCAGGGTACTCATCTTCCCGTTCTTCTGTGTATCACAAAGCTCATGAGCTCACCCTAAAATCCTCACCCTAAAGTCCTATATCCATTGGTGCAGTCCTGATAGACAATTTGGGGTTATCTTTGGGCAGAGAGCAGCAAAATGCCATTTCACACCTCTCAGAAAGGGCCAGCTCAGCCCTGGGTTGCCAAGCAGCAGTGCAGGTTTATTTTTACAGCACATCCAGCTGATGCTGTTGCTAAGCAACATCTTTTCCTATCAATTTGTGCCACTTTGGGCTCATTTTGTGTTTACTAATATCCACTGTAGGGTTTGTATTTTCTCTCACTATTGCTCTTGCTCTTTCCTGTATGAGAATTTGTGGGAAAATGAGGGCTGATGGATTTATTATAGCTCAGTCATTCTTGCAGATCTCTAGAGTGTTATTCTAATATATAGAAAATAAGAACGAATCTGCATTAGTTATATCAAAATTAGAGTGAAATTCTGAGCACTCCCTCCTTCCTCTGTCTTTCATATGAGAATAGCTGGTGCATAGCTGTATGCTTTGCAGTTTAATCTCCTCAGTTCATAGCACCAATCATGTGAAAGTAAGAAATGCAAAAGCATTCTATCTAATTTTGGCATTATTTATACCATGAACTAAAATAAGCCCAAATACCTTATATAAATACCTTAGATAGCATTTATTCTATATATAGAAAAGGCTAAGGTGTCTGAGTAGCGTGTGTAAGTGCTCCGAATACTGCGTATACCTGGATTAAGCTTTGTCACTCATGATCACTTGTTTAGATCATAGTGGAAAGCCTAAAGAGCTACATAGGCAACCTCTAAACCCCCGCTGGGTCTTCCGCTAGCCTGAGCATTCCAGGCCTCCTGGCTTGGATCCCTTAGGCTGAGGAAAGCTGGGCTCCTGGCTGAGCCCAGGTTGCCTCCAGAGCCAAGCGTGGCTGAGAAGCCACAGGAGAATTCCAGCAAATAGCAGTAAAGCTTCATCTCCCACCGATCCCGTGATAAAATCTATGGGATTGAATGGAAACCTCAGGGGATGAGGAGCACTCTCCTGCTTACTGTTCACCCCAACTGATGTGAATTTGTTCAGGGACACAGCAGAAGAGCAGCACCTGCACAGGTAGGAGGAACTTGCAGTGACCAGGCATTGGGATTTGGCCAGAGTTAAGAAAATATAAGGCCAGTCTTTCGTGTTGAAGTTCTCACTCCAGAGATCAGCAAGATGGTTGCTACGTGTCAGCAGGGGTGTCACTCCCTTCCTTCCGCATTACTCATGGTTCTGGCACTGGTGGACGTGTCCGGGTGGCTTTACGAGCCCTATGCAACGTTGGCCAACAGAGCGACTCTCCTTTGCCCGTGGGTTGATAACAAATGAAAACACATGAGCAGAAATCCCAATCAACTACCCAGAGGTTGTGTCAGGAGACTTTTGCAAAGCAGCCTCCTCAATTCTACTTTGCAAAGTTTTCTTGCTGAACGATTAGAAATGGAATTGCACCAAACATGAGCTCAGTTTCTATATATGAGGAAATAACATGGTGAGGAGAAGTGAGGATATATTAACGATCATGCGTTTTCCTGAGCTCCTCTGGGATCTTTGTTCTTTTAAATCCATGGTATAGGGCCCAAATACAAACATTACATAATTTGTTGTCTATCGACAATGAATTTTACTATGATCCTTCTTTTTTTTTTTTTTTTTTTTTTAAGGAAGAGCAGACTAACATTTGGATTTAATGAACTTCAGCTTTTCCAGATTGTGAAGCAGGACAGGAAGACACAGAAAAGGGGATACAGCAGCCACTTTCACATCACCTTATTTCTAAGTTTCACTACAGACCTTTATTTTTCCAACTGCAACCTGACAGGTATAGCACAGATTTACTTGATATATTGTCTTAGCACTTAACTCCCTCATACATGCCGTACTATGTAACCTGAAAAGGTGGAGGGAGACATTTGCTTTTATCTTATAAAATTCTTCTTTAATCAATAAGAGCAGGTTACAGGGTGCTGTAAGCTGCCTGTCCACAGTTTATTGGTCACAAGCGCCACCGGCATTTACAGAAACATGTTAATTGCTTGAGGTTGCAACTAATGAGAAATTTGCAGGACTTTGTTGTCATCTTTTATGGGTGCATTGCTGGCATCAACAGCGAGCATCAATGCTAGCAATTAGCTCACTCCTAAACCAGTACTTCTTGCAACATCACATTTCAAAGGGTTTTGCTCATGTCTCCACCTGCCAGCGTGCTTAAACAGGAAATTATTTTCAACAAGGAACCTGAACAGAAACATCAACATTAGTTAACAGATATTTCTTAGAGCTTTCTACAGTCCTGGGGAGATAGGAAAAACAAGTTCAAGCACGTAAACAAACTGAAAAACTAAATGCTAAATAGATATTGCCCCCACGCAAATCTTCCCTTGAAAACACATATCTAACTTGGGTGTGTTGACTGTTCCACAGAGCAACCTTTATAATGCAAGAAGCAGTGTGCTAGGACATGAAACACTGGAATTTAAATGTGTTTTGATCAAAAAACCTTTTCCCACTGTTAGTTTTTGTAAAAAAACATTAGCATGCAATTTCTGAAATACGGGGCTAATGGCAGCCTCTTGCAGGGGCAGGCAGGTGGAAGAAGAAGAACTCGTTTTCCTTAATGCCTGGGGTGGAGGCAAGGGGTGGTTGAGCAGGTTAGGAAGGTGGGTCTTGGGCAGAAAGCTACATTTCAGGTCAGTCTGAGCGAGAAGCAGAGGGAAAATGAGGTGGAAATTTGAGAGGTGAAGATGGAAGGAATGGGCTGAAGACACTTTCTGAAAGTGTTGATGTGTCCAAAGCTGCCAGACGTAATCCCAGAATGTAAGTGGGAAGTGAAATGTTCTCTCTCCCTTCTTTTAGGAAATGAGTTGTTTTATGGTGCATACCCAAATGTCTCTATAGGCTCATCAGACCAATTTGGTACTAGTGAGCACTTCTGAAATATGTTGTGGTAAAATAATTTCAATAATGACATGTAAATTTTAAGAGATAGCATAGAAAGATGGGAGATTAGCTTTCGATTAGCCTATATTTATATAATGAATGGATTTTAGCATGTTCTTAAT